TATATATATATTTATTTTTTTTTTAAAGATACGCGAAGCATTTAGTGAGCACATTAATTTAAATCATAAATTATTAGAAATCTGATGTGGGCAATCATTCACATGATTTGGTGAACCAGAACTTAAAAGAATAACTTTTTGCCCAAAGGAGAAAAGCTGAAGTCTTCCATCCATTTTTGCCAATTTGTTGATGAGGAAAATATAAAGCAAGGGTCAAGTATCAAACACGCACAGCTACAGTAACAACACTGAGAGGTCACATTATGACCATACCACTAAGCACTCCGTAAGACCTGCTTTGAAACATTTTGCTATGTATTATTACTGTACTTCTGGGGAAAAAAAAAAGCAACCCCAAAACAGAGGCTAAAATGGACTCCCAGTAGTTTGCAGCCACAAACAGAACCTTATGAGCAGCTTCAGTCTGGTACCATTCACACAGGCCTAAGACAACACGCAGCATTCAGATACATAACTTGCATTTATTTTTTGAGGCTGGTTTTAAACCTTTGTAGTTTCACAGGAAGCACTACTCTAACCTCGTGCAGTCTGATAAAACACCCTGAGAGCAGAACAAAATGTGTTTCTGTCTATGCAGGTGCTCCTAATCACTAACTTACTCACTTATTTTTCAGACCTCTATAGAAAGAAGCTATTACTTCTCTTCTGACTGCACGCACCTGGCAGGTTTTTGCCGCATCTGTATTCACTTGCTCATTTGAAGTAATTAATCTGAACCCAAATTACATTGCACCCCTGTGTTTTTTTTATTTACTTGGCTGAGCTCGGCCAGACCGGGTTTAGCATTTAGTTAATGCATCAGAGTGAATCACCTTTTGCTGTCCTGCTCTAGTGATCATGTAAATCCTGCATTCATTTTGGGAATTGTAGGTTCTGAATACTGAAAGCATTTTCATAATACCTGTATTTACTTGTATTATAACAATGCTGTGTTTTCATTCTAAATCCCCATTTTCAAGCATTTACCTGAGCCATTTTAAAAATCACACTAGGTGTTCTGGTTATCAGCCTCGTATGGTTTCAGTTTGTTTAGATTTATTTTAAATAGGTGCCCTAACTAAAAGCTATTTGATTTACAGCATCAGTAAAATCACTGGTTTGTTAATGTATCCTTCACAGCTTTTTCACTCAGTGGCATTACAGTTTTCTCCAGGCTGCCTACCATGTGAAGACCATTTTCAGACAAACATTATTTATATTTCAAACAATAGGGAATGTATTTCAGGAATACAAAATAATAAAAACGTCTAGTGGAAAATATGCAATACCTTCTTTCCTGCTGGATGAGTTGCCAACCTGCAGCTGACAAACTCATTGTTGCTTCTTTTAATATCTTTAATTCATCTAGCTTGCTGATTGCTTGAAGTCTCTGTCTTTCCCAGACAACTGTGGGAATATTTAAGAATGCTTCCTTGCTGAAATGTAGCATTGCATGCCTGTCCACAGGCAATTTGAATTGTGTATAAAATAATACTGGAGAAATCTGACTCTGCAGCAGAATCGTTATTTATTTTAAGAGGAAACAGCAAGGCAATTAAAAAATCTTTATGCAGTTAGAACTTCACTGAGGGAAACACTAAAAGATTAAATGGTAGATGACACCTTCAAGTAAAGTAAAATTGCATGAACTGATGTTTTTCTGCCATAAGCATACCCACAACCAATACACCAGAACACTACTGCAAGTGCTGCCTGTTAGAATATTGGATTGTTCGGTGATACTGTGCTGGTATTTAAGCTTCAGTGTATGTTACATACAACCAGCAACATCACTTGAGCACTAGATGCAGAGGCATATGTGGAAAGCAGTTTGTATCACGTGAGAAGAATTCAAAGAGACATTTGACAGCATACCTCACATAAGTAATTGATTAAGACTCCTTACAAATGGACTATTATAGTTCCTGAGTATAGAACATGTTACTCCAGTTCATCCTTTCTATTGTCAACTTAAAGCCTAAGTGCTTTGGAAGGCCAGATGATTGAAAATAATTAATTAAAAAAAAAAAAGAAAGAAAGAAAAAGTGACAGTCTTGGTACTTCATTTGCGAAGTTACACACAAAACCCATGCACAGTTCTTATTATTTTTATATTTCTAAAGCTACATAGTGGTATTAAGTATAATAATGATTTATGTTCTGCACAGTACTGAGAGATTTCAGCCTTTCATTCAAGCTAGTAATTTTCGTCTGAAAAGTTACTATGTGAATGACCATTTGCTAGCCATATGTATTTTACCATTCTGGGAAGCATGGGTCGTCATCCTCCCTCTTCTCTAAGTCATAAATGTTACAGCTCATTATCACCTACTCCTTGAAATAAATACTTTGGAGAAAACAATAACATTTTAAAGTGTGTTACGCATTAAGGTATGCTGTTAAGATGATTATTTTTTTGTGCCAACATGGACAAACTAAAATTGGCATTGCTTACTAAAGGAAAAAGCAGCCAGTTGTAAAGAACGTGCCATTTAGTTGGTATTATAAGTAGCAGTGTGTGTAAATAATTGTATTGTATCTTTAACAGGATCTATCACTTCTGAAATAATGATGGAAATTCTTCGTGACAAGGAGAGTGGCATTAATATGGAAGGTGGATTTATGACAACTGGAAGCATGGTGTCTGTATTGCCTCAGCAGCCTAATCTGCCATGTATTCACTTCTTTACTGGAACTCCAGATCCTGCAAGGTGATGTGGCAGCAAGTAATTAGGATAAAATTCATAAATATCTAAATTAAGAAGTGTTGCGATTTTTCCAATTATATTCTTTTTTGGTCCATCCCATCATGTCCCCTGTCATCCCCACACTGAAAAAGCACAATCAAAAAGTAGGAGGAACATAACGTACATTATACTATATACCAACCTACTTAACCAAACACTGCTATGTCACCGACTTAAACATCAGGAGACAATTGTTTTGGTTTTAAAAGACATTTCTTAAAAGAAGGAATGAGAAGAATGGGGAAAAATACAGCAATTTACCAACTCAATGATTTTATCAAAACTATCAATAAAGGATCTCTGTTCTGTTTTCTCTTTCTAGGTCTGTATTCAAGCCTTTCATTTTTGTGCCCAATGTTACTCAGTTGCTAAAAACTAGCTCCCCTGCTTTTGGCCAAGATGATCCAGTTAAGAAGCAACCGCGTTTCCAGACTAAGCCAGATCGAAGACATGAGCTCTATAAAAAACATGAAAGAGCTGCTGTAGTTATGGAAACTACTGAGGTACGTTGATTAAATTAGATTTCAATGCAAGCAGGTGGTTTATATAAGCTCCTTGCTCACATTTTGTTAATGTGATACCATATAATGCCCTTTGATGGATTCTGAAGAACATCATAGCACACCAGAAGCAGCCCATCGTGTTGGCATCTGGCAGGCATATGTTTCAAACACTAAAAACTGCAACTAGCACTTTGCTGTGCTCCCAGGCCTAGCCACAGATAGGTATCTGTAATGCTCATCTTGCAAAGCAGCGGGGGACACATACTCCTGCACCAGTCAGATAATGGGGAAATACTTGAGCAGCCACAGGCAAATATACAACTCTTGGTAAGAGTACTTACAACTTTCCAGGGCCCTGGTCTCAGGCAGTAAGGAGGGCATGCCTTTTATCATTGCTTGGTATGGACAGGAAAGGAAACAAGATCACAAAGGCAGATGAACACAAAGGTGAAGCATGCATGTAGTTGCTTGCCTTAACCGTAGCATCTCTCCTGTTTACAGATAAATGTTCTAAAAATAAGGCACATGCCCACTTAAGTTGTGGTAGCATAAATACCTAGAGAGGCTTTAATTTTGTTTATTTTCAATCCATCAGACAAGGATGTAGGCAGATGAAGATACTACATATCAGGAAAAGAGATCTAGGAAAACCTGTCATGGTGCTATTTTCTACCAACACAAACTTGTACCCTAGCAACTATTAAGAGGTTAAAATAGGGACAGTAGAACAGAATTTTGTTAGGGTGAACGCTACATGCTCTCTATGGCTTTTTGTGAAATACGGACGTTTCTTTCTGCAGGGCAAAGGTAAAGAGATGCTGAAAGAGATACAGGAGTTGGAGAAACAGAAGATAAATGAAATGGAATCAATCCTGCAAAATGGATGTCTTGACACTAGCCCAGCAGTTAACCTTTTTTCACAGTGTGTAGAAGAAGAACTCAAAATATATAGCTAAAACTACTATTTGAATGTGGTAAAATTCAGCTTTATGATGAACTTTCCTAAAGAAGTGGCTATATAGATTACATCTTATGTTTGATATGCCAGTTAGTATGGACAGTTTTAAAGATGCGCATTCATATTCAGGCCAAACAGCTTTTGGTTGTATGAAGCAATGCTGAAAAGGCTCATAAGAGCCAGGCAGTGACTTTGTACGTGGCATAGAGCTGTCAGCAGAGATTGATTTTGCCAAGAAACAGATGCAGTTAGACTGCAATAGCTTGATTAAATTGCAGAACAACCCCATCTCTGGATGAAGAACACCAACTCAGATTTGGAGAACTCAGTTCTAGCGTACACACATGTAGCTTTTATAGTCAAGATAATCATAGCAGAATTTTGCATTGCCAGAATTAAAATGGCCATGCTGAAGGGCTTTCTAAAATGTAGAAGCCATTACTTGCACTAAATAAAAATGATATGCAAAGTCAAGTAAGATTGATATTCAGCTGTTTGATAAAACCATTCTAAAGTACATTTCATATATGAACCTTTTATGCCTTCAATGCAAAATGAGGCTAAGAGTTCAAGGTATATTAGAACCAAATCACAGTTACAATTTTAGCATGATTTGTTGTGAAATCTGATTACATGGAATTCAACAACGCAAGCACCCTGCTAGTTACCACACAATTTTCACTTCCCTGTTTTATTTTCCCCACCCTGATAACTGAAAAATAAACTTATTTACATACAGTATAATTGTCAAATTAATTCTGCAATACACTTTATAACATCATGTGGAAGTTTTTTAATGTTTCTTGAATTGTCACTTTTAAAAATCAGATATATAGAAAGGAAGAGGCTGGGGTACACAAGTGTATACTTGTACTCAGTGGGACACTTAAAGGGACTTTTACTTCATACGATGCCTTTTAACCATGACTTGTCTTGCCAAAATTACTAGACTATGGAGTTAATTTAATCAAGCTTTTTTGCCCTGCCAGGAACTCCTTCCTCCCTGATCCTGCATAAGAGTATTGATAAATAGGTGACACTAATTTTACTATCTCTGGCAAAGGGCAAACTGAGCAAACAACAAAGAAAGAAGATTCTGGCTTTACTGTGTGATTAAGCAGGCTAGAAGTTATGACTGGAAGAAAAAAGCCCAAAAAAACCCTCAAAACCCAGCACTTCTGCAAACCTTCAGAAGAGAACATGTAACATGAAATGGAGCATTAGAGCTGCAGTAGCAGTATGTGTCACGACAGCACCCCACAGCAGACCACAAAAAGACCATTCTTCAATGTTTTTTCTAGATGTAGTCAGTTTCTAGAATCAGCTCAGATACTAAAGATGGGGCTACACACATGCACCATTTTGAAAACTGTTCTATTCCCCCACTGGTAATAGAAGTAAGTAAAGGCAAACAAAGAATATATATACAATGAAGTTTGCAGAACGAGTAAGAAAATTAAGAATCTGGCAAATTGTTCTTCCTGATATCACAATGAAAGTATAAGTTAATTTGGGATACCATGTTCGGAGCCACAGCAAGAAACTAATGGGTCAGGAAGGGTTCTTGAACTTTCTTGTTCTAGCGATCCTGCGTGCCAAGTGGCAGTAGCAAATAAGACAGAGTAGCAGGTAAGACAGAAAGTAAGCTTGAGTTGACTGAACCCTTTTGTGCCAGTGTTGTCAACAAAATTTCTTAGAAGTTCAATACTACAGTGGATATTTATGAAATGGATGGTATATTTAATCAAATTTTGTTGTATCTACCTGTTTTCCTCATGGATGTCTGTATCTGACAGTCATGTGTGTCTTTTCCCTATTTTTCATCAGCAGCTATTCCACACTAGCTCTTTGATAACTTCAAAGTATCCATAAATACCAGGTAAAGCTTCTGGAAACCAAGGTATGAGTCAAGTTTACATGTAGCATAGCAAAACAAGAGAAACAATTTTATGCTACAATGCAAATATAATGAAGTTACACATGAATGAAAGTAGTGAAGGTGGTAGAACAAGCCTTTAAGTGAGCTTTTTGGCCATGTAATCATGGGGTGGCAATTTACCAGGTTAAGCATATCGGTCTGGTTGTAATATAGGCAGATACACTCCAACTGTTCCTCTAGTTTCTGTGCTGTTTTTTTATTTACTGGTCTATAGTACACAAAGTTAAACCAATGTGATGTGTGGTGACAGATCAAGTGATAAGCCAACAAAGTACAGAATATTTTGTTACCTTTTTTCCAGGGATTTCATCCTCCTAGAACACATGCAGTGTAAAAACAGAAAATGAAGATGAGATGAGCAGGAATAAATACCCCCTCCCACAACCATACGCCAAACAACCCCCCTCCCAACAAAATAATTCAGAATGTCCTCTAGAGGGCAATGTCTGTATGTATTTCATCTAGGAATACTCTCACAGCTTATTTTAAAAGGTCTAGTGATTAATGAAGGATCACTATTAAAAAACCCCGTGCTAGCACTGCTACCTAGAAAACTAAAAGTTTCATCTCTACCCCTGCCCATTATCACAATTACTGCAGTTAGAGCTAGAAAAAAGATCCAGTGTTTCACTCCAGGCTTCTCTGGGCTTACTTGTTCAGTGGTGTTTGCATGGAACATCAGTTCAATAAACTTCAAGTTAACTGAGATTTATCCCAAACTAATCCACCTTCAAAATAAAAGAATCACTGTACCACTGACCACATCTTGAAAAGCAAAGTTACTTCTAATCACCAAAATTCCACACATCAGTAGATCAGCTATTAACATACATCAATTGTCAGCTATTTTAAAGCTTGCCAGTGCTCCTTGATAGAAGCAAATATTTATCAGATAAAAGTTAGTCAACTTTCTAGAATCATTCGAAGTCTCTTCTTAGCTTCCAGAATTACTGAGTGATTTAGAAACAGATGATGATATCCTGTATTTCATTCCTAGTTTATTTAGTCCAGTTATTGGACTAACAGGTATGGTATCAGCAGTCACAATGTTGTAACAATTAATCTAATAGAAATTGGTGTCAGTTGTTAATTAAAGGCGTTCTCTTCATTAGATTTGTAACAGGGAGTCTTCTCTAAGCAGAAATTTTGAGCAATTTCTTAACTTAAACCAGAAGTGTTCAAAATCTAGGGAATAGCATAGCTGTTGTAAGAAAGGAGGGAAGGGCAGGACTTTATGATGAAAATGAGAAAGACAAGAGTGCAAGAACGATGACTATGCATAGGTCCATAAAACTTACCTAAGATCAACTTCTTGAACATTTGAAGAACAAAAAAACCATGTATTTGATAAGCAGGTGATATTCATTAAGTAGATTATAATGTAAAATGTTCTTAAAGATCCATTCAGGCTGCTAGAGGAAAACTGGTATCTTTCTGTGAACACCCATTAACAAGTCCTGTACCTATTTAAAAAGCCAAGGGTGCATTTAAGAAATACCAAATTTGAAACCCAAGATCCACTTAAACAAATCTCTTGGAAAATTAATACATTTGTCATAAATCTCGCCATGCACACATAACCCTCCCACACCTCACAGCACATCAAAGCTCAGAACTCTGAAATCAAATAACAGATTTATTGACAAGTTACAGTATTTAGAAGCCAGACACACTCATGGCTTCTGCTTTTAAGTCACACATATCTAATTATTTCAAGATATTTGATATAGCTGTCTTCAGCAGTTGCAATGGAAATACACTATTGTTTTCCTTTGTGGCCACAGCCTGAGACAAATGTCAATTATTCTGTTGCTGGAAAACATTAAAACCTGTCAGTTTGTATAGCACACATACGCAGTAGGATGCAGTTGTGTTTCTGTGCATGCTGCAGAAGTGCAATATGACTGACAGTAAAAGGAATTTTTTTCCAATCTAAGTCTTGCATGGACTTACAGCTACCATAAAACAACTGTTTCTTGAACAGTAGGTTATGCTGCTAAAATCACTTTTAATTCTTAATACAAAGTAGGTGCATAGGAGCTGTAATAAAAATCCATGTACTAAAAACAAACCAACCAACAAAAACAGGGAAAGACTTTTTTTAAAAAAAAAGGATGAAAAGGGTTATTCAGAGCTTGAGCAAATTTATTTTTTTTTTTAAATACATGGGTTCCTTTCCCTCACTGTATGAAACTCTTATATAGACATCAATGCTCTTCCTGCAGTTTTAACAGGGCACCATAATGGCTATCAGATACCAGTTTGTCTTCAACCTTTATACAGTACTGCACGACACACAGATTCTCAGATGCTGCCTTCAGTGCACAGGAATCTGAGTGACACTACAGTAACTATTTAAACATCGTAGGAGGGTACCTGAGGCTTATTATAAACCTGTGTTAGGCAACCAATACTGAAATTTGAGGATCCTTAGCTACTCTAAACCCTAACTTGGATGTTCAGTTAGGATTCTTTATGTAGGAGATTTAAAAAAGTCACTGTATTTCATTTAAAAGGTTTTAGGAGTTGATAAAATTTTTCATCTTGACTTGGTCAAGTATCCAAGACTTCTATAACATCTTTATTTGAGGCTGGCACTTCTGAATTAAACTGGAAAGGTTAATTTCAGAAGGCAAAAATCTACTCTTGACAAAGTTACTACCACCAAAAGTACAGAACCACTTGCTTATCTGAAATTCCATGATCTCATTTCCTAATCTGGGGGAGCACTGGGTATCTTAATGTTTTTAAGATTTGGCAAATTTGTACAAAATCATTATTTATCCACTAAATATTTCCTCAGCTTTAATCCTCTGACATCAGAATGACGTGAGAAACAAGCCACCTGATCTGAGGTGTAAACAACTAGAACAAGTTCTTGGTGTTAGGCAAGAGTGGAATATTAAAAACTGCGATATGATAGAAGAAATCCTACTTCTATGAAATCAGGAGATGCCTGGCTGTAAAAAGGAATCAGTATTTTATCATATTAAAATATGGAAAAAACACAGCAACATAAAAAATACCTCTCATTCTTGCTGTTTTTTCCACTGTGGCAC